CAAAAAAAACATGTAACACCAGATTTGAATAGTCCAATGCTCGAATAAACTCACAACCAAAGAAACCAGCTGTATCTGCTCTGTGTTTGTACTTATTGGAAGTGTCCCGTCTCAGTCCAACTGCTCTTTATTCCTGGTTGATGTCGTTTGTGAGGACAGGAAATGGAGAGCTCTTAAAATGATAAACTCTGAATAAAGTTGTACCGCACCATCTGCTCTGGAAACTTCTTGGTTACTTGAGCAGTGAGGGGGAGGGCTGAGGTTGCCAAACGTAGAGAGTAAACCTCCTCGGTGTCACGCAGACCGTTAATCACCGCTCGCTGCTTTTCAACACCTTCACTGACACATATGCTGACCCACACGGATTAAAAAGCTGAGAGACAGTTAATCTGGAATCTGTAAGAAATTATTGGTTATATTGATTTTCAAATCAGTGAATCATTTCTAATATTAACATTCTTGTCCACATTTTTCCCCACACGCCAAACTGGTCAGGACAGATGATTTAAAAAGAAAGACCCAGAGACTTGAGTGTAACAGACAGTTTCCCACATTTTATTTTTTGATATTACCATAGCTATATGTAACATCTGACAACAGGTATCAACTACAGAATAATACACTGAAAATTTGTCAGTTCCAACTCAACCATTTTCTTCTTCTTCTGTTGCTTTTTGGTCCGGTTACATTTCTGCCTGATTCTCTCCTCAGTGTCATTGAATGTCAAACATTGAAACACATGCACGTCATTCACCTGGATACAGCTGAGTAAGACAACAGTCAAACAGACTCGACGGTATGAACAGAATCGGATCGTTTTTCCTCACGCAGCTTTATTTTTAGCTGAGACACCCATACGGTTTTACTACAGTAATTATCATAAGGCTAGATTACTGTACAGCTATGCACCAAAAGGTTCACTCGGCTGTTCTAGATAAAGAGAAAGAGCACCGTATTTACAACTCTATTTACATTTGGTTTTTAAAAACGAATCTCAGACGACAACCAAAGAGAGAAAACATATTTAGAACCTTGTTTTTCGTTTTTTTCCGAGTCTGAAGCAGCTGCTGTGTGAGGCTGCACGAGTTTGGAATCTAAAAAAAAAGAAACTAATGAAGTGTTTCTGTACAGATAGCTGCAACACACGGTATAGCTTATTGCCAATGCCCTTAAAGAGTTCCCCCATTTTCCCTTTCCTCTCTCTTACTTTCGTTTGTTTGTCTTTACAGCCAGCTCCGAAAGCCGGAAGGTGCGAGGCTCTGTCTCGTGCGCGCTTCCTGCCGGTTTACCCAGGGCACGCGCTTCTCAAAGCTTCACACCCGCCCACCCATCATAAAAATAAAACATTTTCAAACATCAGATTGCTCAAAAAAATTTACAAGTTTTAAAAAATAAACTTTCTTTTTCACTGTATATACATACGCTGCACCCTCATGTACACTTAACTTTGGGGGGGGGAGGGGGCCGTTGGCGCGGGCAGGACCACGGCTGCAGGACAACAGTGATTAACCCGTAAGAAACAGCACGACTTCTGCACCCACTCCTCAAAACGTGCTCCGACTTTCATCTCAGTCACAATTGCAGACAAACGCGGTGTGACTGAAGTAACACACACAAACTCGTAATTTCAGGTGTTTCTGTATGGAGCCGGTGTATGGTTTGTAGAGATGCAGCTCCTATTAAAAGGCACAAACTGACGATGGGGTTTTCCCCCCTTTCTTCAATCGCAGCTTGCTGACTGACATTTAAGACAAACTGTCTACAAAACCGAACACAGAAACACATCTAACATGACTAAAACCTTTGTTTAAAGTGTCCAATGTCATCAATTAAGAAATCTTTTAACAGATAGATGCTGTTTACGAAAAACAAAAAAAGTGTAAAACATCTTGGACATTCAACAAATCATCCCAACTGAAGCACAGTGGAGGGAGCAACATGGTTTTGGCTGCTGGATGCCCTGAAGAAGAAACGTACGACAATAATGCAATGAAGGTGTTTGTTTTTTCCCCTCTCTCTTCTCATCAGTCTCTCTTTTTTTGGATAATTTCTCATTCAGCTACAACGTAACCAGATATGACATCCAGGAACGTGACGGCATTCAGAGAATATAGAAACAGAAATGTGAGTGTTATGAATTCTGCTCCTAAGCCCATAGAGCCAATCAACAATTTACAAAGTTGTGTTTCATCTATATCCGAGGGGGGAAAAGTATCTTTCAGTTTAACTTTTGTCCACTACAGAGGGCATGATGAATAAATCTTAACAGTCACCTCAAGTTGCTTTATACTGTTAAAACCCGACAATATTAGAGAGAAAACTCCAGCAATCTGTTAATTCTCTATGAGCAAACAAACGATGGTGGGAAGGAAAATTTCCTTTTTAACAGGAAGAAACATCCAGTTGAACCAAACTAAGGAGGGCCGGTCATCTGCCTAGAGCTACATATGTTTTTCCTATTGGACACAGATGCATGCTGCATGCATGCTACATGCTGCATGCACAGTACAAAGATAACTGCAGGGTAACAGGGCGAAGTCCCCAAAGTTTTAAAGCAGTGTTTATTTGTCTTGCCTGGTGACTCGTTTTTATATCTGGGGAAAAGCAAATTCAGATGGGGACTTCAAATTAAATGGATTATTAAAGAGGTGCCAAGACTTAAATCTACAAGGGCTCTGATGTAACCAAGTACTTTTATTCCACTACTAAAGTATGAAATAAATGTTGGTATTTTTCTCTTCTACACATTTAGAAGAGAATATCAGTGCAGCAGTCCACAATGAGGTTGATATGGCAAAATAATAACAAAAAAAATCTGATTTTAGCCTGAGGTGTTTTAGCGAGAAGACTGCTGTTTAATGCTGACATCACAGAAATATGAAGCCTCACGGTATGTGATGAAAACACAGCCAGTTCTAGAAGATGTTTTGCAGAAACGTTTGTCCAGCATTAAATTTTTCTTTGCTTTTGGTGTGAAGGCACCATCAGAAACAGCGTTAGGAAACATGGAGGTTGTTCTTGCTAAACGAGGTTCAACATAGTCAGAGGAGCTACTTTTTTCAAGCCTGCGCTGAGAGATTCTGTTTAAAAGAAAGGCACGAGAAGTGTGTGTTACTGAGATGAACGTCGGAGCATGTTTTAGGAGGAGTTGCTGCAGAAATTCTGATCATTCTTCAGGGTTAAGCAGCTGCATGTCTCTTGCAGCAGCAGCTGGGTTAATGGTAGGCATAAACAACACAAAATCATGTGAATAAAAAAATAAGAACACCTCATTTTTGAATGTGTGGTCAGCAGGAACTCTTCCAAACCTGTTTGTTCATCTTGCTACAGTATCAATGCAATGCTGCCCTCACACACACACACACACACACACACACACACACACACACACTTCTTCCCACCAGCTTCTGTGTGTGTGTTATTTAAAAGCTGAAAGCGTGCCGCCTCTGTAAAGAGACACTGGTACAGATTTAAAGGGTTATGACCAACAGTTTGCACCGAGCTCAATTCAGCAGAGGATACATGGTTCTTAAAAAAGAACAGAAAACAGATTGTCTGAGTGCAATACAGAGCCCAGAGTGGACAGAGGTGGTCAGATACGCTGAACGGACTCAAACGAATGGAATCCACTTTATGTTTTTCTATTTATCATCAGCGATGTCACTGGCAGCTAACGTTCAGAGGGGAGCGAAGGTTCGAGGTAAAGGAGGGAGAAGTGTGAGTTTGAGTTGTATCAATAAGCAGGCGTCCCCGTCCCTCTCCTCTGCCAGCTGCCCGCTACAGCTGCAAGTACAAGTGCTTGTTATTTCGATTTTTACACCTGGAGTGTTTGGACCACTGATACTTTGAGAAAGAAGCTTTGATTTGATGGGAATCGGAAAAAGTTATGAGACTAAAGTTTTAATTTTACAAGGAAAAGGATCAAAATATTACAAGTGAAAAACCCCCCATGAAGTCAAAAATTGCCATTTCAAGAAGAAATTAAGTATTTTACAAGGTCAAAGGAGAAAGAAGTTACTCTTTAAAAAGGCCAAAGAATATTTTTCAGCTCTTTAAAATAATTAGTATTGACAACTGTGTTAAACACTTTGAGCCTGCTGTAACCACTTCATGTTGCTCTGATGTCCTCTTAAATTCACATCAGGGCGTCTGCTGAGATTATCAAATCTGTTGCTGACATGGAGAAGTCTTGTTTCGTTTTTTTCTTTTTCGGTGTCTCAGTCTTGTGAATGTGAACCCAATCGGTCAACACTTGAATTAAATTACTTTTAAGAATCAGCTGTTAGCAGCACAGTTAGCACAAATTGGAGTTGTTACTGAAAATCAATTAAATCTGGAAATCTGCCATCATTGATGATTATTTCCAGTAGCCCCTCCCACACCCACAGGTGTACGCTGTGCTCATTTTAGACCCCATGAAAATTGAGGCGCTTTCCCCCCCCTTCAAATGAAAAACAGCTGAAAATTTCTACTACATTCAGTAAACCTTTTTAAATGTTGTTTTACTTGAAGTACTTATATGAGACTGATCAACCATTCTGAGTGAGCTGGTCCCATGAAAGTGGTAATGTAAACCAAACTGTCACTGTAGCCTTGAGTTGTGTAAAAGCAGTACGTTTTCCAAGAGCATCTTCCTGAAAGCTGCAACGCCACTCAAAATTTCTGACTTCCAGACTAAACTAAACTGCACATCAGTTATTTAAGACCTTTGTAAAGAATGATTTACCTTCTTGTCACAGTGGATGAATCAAATGTATACAAGTTTGTTTTAGCACCTGTACATTTGCTGCATGCTGACTGTAAATAGGTTATTTCATTGTTCCATTTACCCATCTGTTAGTATTACTTCTTAACAGCTCCAGCTGATATTTATTATCACCTATTTCTGATATTATTGTGGATTTTTGTTAGAAATAGTGAACCAAAAATGTTAAGAAATTCAACTTTGTCTATATCAACCATCTTTCATTCTTTGGTTGACAAAGTGAAAGATTTTGTAATATGTTTTCAGGAATATAATTATAATAATGACCTTCTCCTAGAAAATGTAAACTTTACCTCAGAGTACAATCACTTTTTCTTCCCAACTTTGTCATACAGTTACAACTTTTATATGTACAGGTTTGTAAAATTACAATTTTACCTCGTGGTATTTTTCCTTTTTTTTTTTTTTTAATTTACACTCCAATAAATACTTCTCAAAATGCTTTTCACAGTGGCCCTAATGCTCTGCTCTTCAAGTGGACCTATTCTGCTTTTCCTTCTTTTCTCATAAAGGCGCTGTTACGTGAAACAGTACGGAAGCTTATTTTACACTGTTTCAGACAGAGGGTGAACTAACTAGTATGAAGTCAGTCTAATTAAAAATGAAAAGCAATTATTATTTTAAACAGTGACTCATGCAAAGCCACTCTAATAGAATCCACGAATAAAAACCACAAAGCTGGAAATGAGCAGAACAGGTCCACTTTAAATGCGAGCCTCCTTATTTTAAATGCTCTAATACAAATCATTTAGAATGTCAAAGTGCAGTCAGGACACATAAAACAAGAATATAATGAAAAACATAAAAACACTAATAGACATTTATAACCACCAACAATTGGTAGGGAGCAGGGCACGGAACAAAAAGTGACAGGAGAGGTGGTGAGCTGAGAGGCAGGTGGTTGTGGGAGCTCAGCTACCTGCTACAGCAAACTAGACAGGAAGGTTCAAAAGCAGAGTAGTGTTCAAAGAAACTACCTGAAGCAGGAGGGGAAGAGTGACTGAGAAAACTTGGTGTCGGTGGGTCATGGTCCACAGGGTGTCAGCGAGCTTCAGATGACCTGGCAGCAGCTGGCTGGAGCTGAGGTACAGAGCAGGCCATCCCTGGAGCCTCCACCTCGCTGGATGTTGACAGAGATGGTCTTCTCGCACAGAGGTAGTTGAATCACGCTGTTCTTCAGGGTGCTCAGGTTGCCATGAGTGTTCCTGCCACCCGGGCCGCTGTGCGGCACCGTTTTGCGGTTGTGATGGTGTTGTGGGGTATGGGTGCGAGGCAGGCCGGTGATAGTGGTGGTGGGGAGGGTGATGGTGTCCAGGCTCCCAGTGGACCCGATGCACATCCTCCAGGTGGACTTCTCCTGGATTTTCACACTCCCTCCTGAGAGGCTATGGGGGTCTATGATGAATTTCCCCCCACCCCCTCGACCACCTCTCCCAGCGTGGTGGTGCTGCAGCTGTGAGCTGAGGCACAAGCTCATCAGCTTGAGACTCTCCACCAGCTCAGCGCTGCGGCTTGCAGTGCGCGAGGCCCGGGGCTGAGAGCCAAGGGACGGGTTAGTAGTGCTACTGTTGTTACAACAACTGGAAGGGCTGTCTTGTCCTTTATTACCCCCTCCTCCTCCCCCACTCCCCCCTCCTCCACTGCCACTCTGTCCTCCTCCGTTACCTCCCGCTCCAGGACTCCCCCTGTCTGGGCCAGAGGACCCTCCTCCCTCAGTGGGGGGCTTCCCCTGCCCTGAGCTGCTGCCTCCACCGTTCCCCCCCTCGCTGCCAGGTGGCCCTTCACTGCTGTCCCTCCTGTTCCAGCTGTAGCTGAAGCCTGAGTCTTTATCCAGGCGCCTCCGGTGGCTCTCGGAGTCATCATCGCTCGTCTCAGAGCTCGAGCATGACGATCCCCTTCCCTGACTCTTGCGCCGATGATAGCGCTTCTGCGTGGATCCCGGGGACGACGACGAGCTCAGAGTGCCGGCGTTCCCGGCCATGTTCATTTTGAGACGGCTGAGTTTGGGCGGCAGACCCTCATCCATGTCGAAGTCATCGTCGGACTCTCCCTCCTCTTCAAAGATCTGGTTGAGCACTGGGGCACTCTTCCTGGACGTAAGGCGGTTGGTAATGGAGGGGGGCTTCCGCCGCAGGATCACCTGAGTTGGTAGGGGAGACGGGTCCTGCTCTTCCTCCTCCTCTTCATCCTCCTCCACTCTGCCAAACAATCAGACATGAATGAGTTGACATTAGAATACAACCACAAAGCAATGACAGAAAACTCGATCCTCTGTTTTATCATCAGTTGCTCGATGGATCATTTGCTCTGTTAGACTACAGGGGGGACGGGACTATTACAGCCGCCATTTTCAGATGTCTCATTTTGTCTAGTTTCTGAATAAAAGTTCAAAATTTCAATTTGTGACATAATACAAAGAAATTTAGCCTGAACATTTAAGAAGCTACGAAATGCACACATTGAAATAGAGTACAACTTATTGTTCTGCTTTCAGTTTTAGGGATACTGAGGACACAAAATAATGTCACACTGTTGAAAACTGAGTCCAGAGATCAGACCTGAACAGGCAGGTTCGCTGCTTAGCTGCTGCTGAGGTGGAGGGAGTGGGAGTCCTGATGGTGCCAGGAGCAGGACCTGAAGCAGCAGCACACGCTCCCTGAGGCAAGAAGAAAATACAAGAGCATGGGCATTAAAACAGGGTGCAAGTATGATCAGCTGCACTGTTTACAACTGAAAGTAGCTGCGAAGTGTGCTCTGTTCTGAAAATGACTCTCACTGCTGCTGTCCCTGCCTTTAGGCTTTACCCATGTGTAAAGTTTGAGGACCCAGAAAAGAACCACACACACACAAATAGAACAACTTACTACAGAGGCAATAACAATCCTATTTACTCTCAGATGGTCCTACTAGCACTGCATTTCATGTATAAAAAAAAAGCTTCATTTGATACAGACAAGGGATGATGATGAGTGTACCTGTGCCGACCCCGGAGAGTCAGTCACCGTGCTCTCTTCCCGTCTGCCCAGCTCCATCATGGCTTTAGAGCGATGTCCATTGAGCAGGTTCTCAGCACTGCGAGCAGGGGACTGAGGGCCTCCTGCGTGAGAGATGGACGAAGCTGCTAAACTATCCTCAATATCCTGGTGCATATCCACTCTGGTGGGCCAGGACTGCCTGTAGAGATAAGAAAAAGGATTGCATCAGTTGATACGTTTTCTTTGATCTTCAAAAGACTTTATAGTCAATTTATACTCTCCTCAAGTGACTTGGATAGTTATTTATACAGAATAGATCACTCAAATATAGACAACTAGAGAAGACAGGGACAACACAGGGATTACACTCATGACTTCAAAATGATATACTGCGTAAATAATATCCATCCATTCGCTACAGCTTATCCTTTTTTAGGGTCGCGGGGGGTGCTGGAGCCAATCCCAGCTGTCATGGGGTGAGAGGCGGGGTATACTGCGTAAATAATATCATTACAGTATATAAGTGGGAAGAGATTTTAACTGGAGACATATGATGCAGGGTGCTTTTTTGTTCATCCAGTGCAATCACTTGCAGCAGTATCCAACTGTACGTAGGCAATTAACAGTGAGGGCTTAGGGTTTGGAGCTATGAGCATCTTTATAACTTTAACTATAAACAGTGTCCAATGTTTTGATCAAAATGTTCATCACTATTTGCAGCCGCCAGACTAGATCATCTGGTTCATGATCCATCACAATTCATTGGTTATTGACCGTAAAACAAAAAATGTGACCTTGACCTGAAGTACAGTTTGGCTGAAGAGAGCATTAAATTCTTTATTGATTAACTGACTGATGAACTTTATTTTGGTCTGACTCTATAGCAGCTATATTTATTAAAGCTACACTCTGTTATATGGCAGCATCTGTTCCTTTTAAGTTACTATAAATTGATGTGGTAAACATATGGATGTGGCTCCACTTTCTCTGTTATGGACGAGCGTGCACACAAACACAAAGTGGAATTACCTTCCTGGAGTCTAGAACAAGTAGACTGACTATATCAAAAGAATCATTCAAAATAATCAGGGCCCCCCCGAAAAGTTAAGGATTGATAAATAAAGGATTTTAAATAGAAAGCAAGGCGGAAATTAGCTTGTGTCTGTAGATAAATGGATGAGTGATAACTGATTTTGCAAAATGTTTTATGGAAATCATGGCTTTTCTTTTCAAATCAGGTTGACAAATCCAATTACAGGTCATTACTGTGCTTTATTTATTTTACCATCCTCTAATAGAGCTGCCACAAAGGCCACACTGTATCTTTTTTCATTGTTAGCTAAACCACAGCCTCTCTATTCAGTGGTATAATGAATAATGCACTGATGAAACACAGTCTGTATGTGGAAGAAGAAAAAAGAAGCTTGTAAAGCAGATTAGTCAGTGATGCAGGGACCTGTGAATGTCAGCCAGTGGAAATTGGAATATTCTTAGTAAACTAAGACAGATTTTGGCAATAATACAGTTGTAACTAAAGCTCGTGTTATCAGAGTAACACCAAATATATTTTATAGAGTGTTTCAAATCAAAGAACAGTCAGTATTCAGTATGCAATCTGTTATACAGTTTATCCCATGAAGTGTCTCTATTAATAAAGTCATTTCAAATCTGTGTTTTTACATCATCTGCATGTCACCCATAGCTCAAAATGCAGCTCAATTCTTCTTCACAAACAAGCGTACAGGACCTGGTTCATTTCTATGTCTCTGGCAGAAAACCACTTTGATAAGCGAAAGATACAATGTGTATGCTTCCTTCTTGATCTGAACTATGTTTCAGGGTGTACACAAGTGTAGCATTTACTCAAGAAAAACACGATCAAACTTCTAACAACTGTAATTCTTTTAATGGCCACTTGAGACTCTAGGACTGGGCGATATATCGAGTTTTTAAATATATGGATATACTTTTATACGAGATAAGAGATGTGACAATATCGTTTATATTGATATAGTCTATGTTACGTTATAATTATACTTGGAACTGCAAGTTTGCCTGTCTTTCGTCCACTTTTGTCTCTACGCTGTGACAAATAATGGATCAAGGATGCATCTACATGGAGACATGGAGAAATTCAGAGTGTTGTTATGTCACCTCAGGATATGCACTGTATATTAGACCCGTTACCTTTGAACTAACAGCTTTATTTGAAGAAAAACAGCCTGGTGAACCCACTCCTGGAGGTAAGTGCTCACATGATGGAGGTGGAACAAACAGTGAGACAGAGCAATCATCGAGGGCACACTTATGTGTCCATAAACAATTAATCCCACAAGAGAAGTTGCTCCGCTTCTGCTTACTTGAAATTCCATTTGCACAGGAAGCATGTCCCATGCATACAAGCACAGGCAACCATGTAGAGGTGAATACATCTAAGGGTAAACACCAGTAACAATAACAGTTAGACTCCATCTGGTTCCAGAAAGTTAAAAACGTTTAGCCTGACCCCTCCTTAAAAAAAACATTAGTCCCTGCTCTGTGTACATCAGGCCACGGATCAGTAACACAGGAGATGAGTTAAATGGAGTTACAATCAAATGGAGAATCTGATAAAGATTTGACCTCTCAGTTTTTCTAGCAGCGGATAATGGTATCCTGATTTCACACACTGATACAGGTACCAACTATGCAGGCCTAGAGATCATCATCAGCTCAGTATTCAGCCAGGTCGCTGTTGCTACATACGCAGCACTGAAAATGTGATGACCCAAGCTTCTGTTTCTATCATGTATCCGAGCTTATTCAGCTCTGAGCCCTTAAAAATACCTGTTGTTCCCAAATCTATACAATGACACAAACCTTGTCTTGCTACTAACTCAATGTTTTACTTTGGTTCTGTGTAGGTAGCAATGAGAGTTAAACCCAAAGCATTTCACAGAAAACTGGATAGGGGAATGTGCAGGGAGTTTTACAACCACAGCAGTCCCGCTGAAGCCTCCTCACTCTTCTCTTCCTTATTTGTTCCTCTCCTTTGTCTCTCTTCCTTTTATAACCAAAGGAACAATGTTGGCAAGGCAACAAAGAGGAAATACTTGGGACAGCTAAAGCATGAACCAGGATATGTTCTCAGTTCTTAGTGATATGACAGCTAGCTGGATGGGAGCCTTGCTCCCATTTTTCACTTTAGAATTAGAAAAAAATTGCAGTAATGGAAGCATCAAGACAAAGGGTGAACTTTAAAAGGTTGGAGAATATGCTAATGACTCAGACCATCTCCTCTGCACTGTGGAGACTCGGTGAACCCAGAAATGGAAATGAAACCTTTAGAGATCTACCTAGTCTTAAGTAATTGTGGCTGAGCCCTGCGAAGTGGAGTCAGACAGGTTGCCGTGTGAGGCAGCTGAGAGATAGGTCAGTTGCCCTCTTCTGGGCTCATACAGTGACTCAGACACTCATTATGACCACAAGCAGTTTGTTACTCACGCTCTCGACTAGTTTGCTAAAATATCAGAATTTTTGTGCACGCATGAGAAGGGATATTTCCTTTCTTTAGCAGTGTTTGAGTTTTTTGCTGCTCTTTACCTGAAGTGTGCCTTGATGTTGCTGGGACTTGAGGAGCGGGTCTGCACATCCTTCTCCTGCTTCTCCCTCAGGATTCTTTCTGCTAGCAGGTAGTATGTAGCTGTGATGTGGTTGTATTTGTTGGTCTCTAGGGCTCTGAAACAACAAATCACACTTTAGGACCATATAAAGTAGACAGCATGTTGGATTTAAAAAAAAAAAAAAAAAAAAAAAGGGACAGAGTTGAGAACTCATTTTAGCTCTTGGGCTACATACATTCTAACTTCATCTCAAGCAAGTTGAACCAGTAAAACCACCACATAACAATGTATATTTAAAAAAAAAAAAAACAGTGAACATAGTTTTGCTTGCATGTGTAAAGTGTAAGGAAGTATAAGCGCATTCTGAAAATATTTACTTGGGCATTAGCCAAAGTTTTCTGAAAGCTGAAACCAAAAGACCAAGTGAAACATGCTTCTTCTAAGCATTTACCAGATAACAGAAGTTACAGGTGATCCATTTACAAAAATCCTGAGATACACTGAGACACATAAGTGCAATTTCAAAAAAGAAAATCCAGTTTTTCCCTGTCATCTTCAGACAGTGAACTCGACAATTGTGCTGCAAAGATCACAAAGTCCCCTGACAGTGCTGCATTTTCCACAGACACAACACAGACGATTATGAAGCATATATATTTTAGGTATAAATGTGTAATTGAATGTCCTTACGCTGATAGAAAGGAGTTTCACTAGTCCAGCCCACTTAATTAAAAGGTGTGCTGTGTAAGGCCCTTAATGTAAAATGAGCTTGACGATGACGCTGGCTCAGAGGAATGAGTTCTCTACATTTACATTGCACCTCTGACAGCAGAACGATCTTTGAGATTCACAACCAGACACTAAAACAGGCAATGTTGTCAGAGTAATCCTGGGAATGCACAGGGTGCGCATCTATGACATAAGAGTATATGAATTGGTTTTGTTCTGGCCCTTGCATAATTTCATAAATGGGCCATGTATTCTATAAAGGGTCTTTGAAACTTGTTGGTACACTATGACCTTCCTGTGTCTCATTTCTTCCCTTCCTCGTATACTGTGTGTAGTGCAGTTGATGGGTGTGGAATTTTTGAAAAGGGACACGGCACAAAGAGTTGCTTCTGAAACACAGTGCAGTGCATTTGGTAACAACATCACTGAGATATCATTAGCCAGTGACACTGCCGTTTCACAGTAACAGCTTCCCCTCATGTGGTCAACTTCTACAGAACTATATTGAACTAATTTTAATTTCACACAAAGCAGCTCAAAACAACAGGAAAATGTTTAAAGAAGTACATATATTTTAGAATGGTTTTATGTATTCAATGGGTATCAGCCTACTTTGTTCTTTGATGTGGATTACTGTAAGCCAGATCACTCTTTGCTGTGTGTGAATGACATGGAGTGTGATTCCGTGCTTTTGCTGGTACAGGTTGTACAGTGTCTCTCCCTGTCTAGCTTTATCTACAGTTCACCACAAAAACTAAGTTCATGTACATGTCGGACTTGGAACTAATAAACCTTGAACAACCAATCCTTTTACTGACACCAAGGAAGGAGAGAAGTCTTTAGAATCGTGGTTAAAACGAGAAAAAGAGCCCATGTCTACACCATCAGAATTTGCATAAGCTTGGTGAACAAGTCAGACATAAATATACACTTTTACATTACATTTTCTCATGGTGCTCATCAATATACAGTACATATTACAATCAAACAGAGCAATCACACCCACTAAGGTCTGCATTGTTGTGATTTATAGTTTCATTTCTGGGACTGTGCACATCAGGATACAGCCTAAGGTTCAGCTTAAAATCTAGGCTTATGCTACAGCTTTGCCTACACTGTAGACTTGCAGTACACTGTAAAGATGTCACAGGGTGGAATGGTCAAGTTTAACTTGGTGTTTTTATTTCCTTGCATGTAGTGCTGTGTTTTATTTTTTTATTATCTTTTATTAGCGTGTAGTGTTTTATTTTTGCGGGGTTATTACATGCTTTTTTGTTTTGATATGTGATTTGTTCCGGGGGGGGATGCCCATTCCACCGCCCCTCCTGATCATTAATCTGACACACCTGGGACCAATCAGGGTTCGCCACAGCTATTCAATAATAGGGAGAGAGAGCGTGAGAAACATCAGGAGAAACATGGCGTGGTAACCGGGGTTGGCGACGGCCGCGCAGAGCAGCACGGAGGCCCGGCTACAGGCAGCTGACCGGGGCGTGCGGCAAAGGAGAACGGGACTGGAGATCGCAGACAACTGCGCATTGGAGAGAGTGATCGGGGATGAGCAGAGCGGTCTGTGTTGGTGCTAAGGGGAGCGAGCTCCTCGGTGAGAGAGGCCCATGGCAAGGGATTGAGAGGCAGCGGGATGACGCCTTATGTCCCTGGGACGGCGAGACCATGGCTATGCGTGTGAAGCACAGCAAAGTGGCAGGCAGAGTTTGGAGCTCTGCCCATCTGGGGTAAGTCCCAATCAGTCCCATGTAGGACGAATCTCCGGTGGAATCAAAGAATGGTGACTGCTGCTGCCCCTCTCTCCTTTTAGTTGGCATCAGAACGAAGACGCAGACAGGACGGTGACGATGCTGCCGGTTTCTGCACCGTTTGGACTTTTATTGGACTTTATCTTCGTGGCTGAGGCCATTGGATTTTAGCTGTATTGTTTTAATGTTTTTAATTTCAGGTTCTACCTGGCCAGAGTATTTTAGTGTTTTCTTGTAAATAAATTATAGTTTTAACAACGTGAGTTTATATTTTCTACTTCCTTGGCTCCTCCACTGCTCTTCCCGTTAGAAGGTTTTCCCTTCTGTTTTAACCTACCACCTACCACTTACATCTACAGCATCTCTCATTACTCAGTGTGCAAAGATGCACCTAAGCCAATATCTGTCTGCACCTTATCAGTGTTAAAGCAGACTGATAACACTACATTAACTGCAGCATTAATTTATAAAAATAAATAAATAAATAGTAATTTCCTCTGGCTATTTCTGTTAATAAATGTGCTGCATCTACTTTTTTTTTTTTTTTTTAAATCGAGTGTATTAAAGGTTATTCAAATCTTGTTGTCAGGGCTGTTACTGAATGAACACACTTGTTAAAGCGGCGCTCTACATTAGAAGCCATTTATTTGTCACACATCGCTTTGAAGCTAATGGCAGGTCGCTTGTTGACATGCCACACTCCGGTTGCCTAGGTGACTATCCAAATGATGTCAGTCAACAGTATTCTTCACTTTCAAATTTATCTCAGGTCCCATCCACTTCATGTTGCCTGCAGTCATTTCGCCCGTAGTCCTTTGCACTCATAGAATGTCATTCAGTTTTTGCCTGATCACCATTTCGCTTTCAATGTGTGTTTAGATTTAGAAGATTCATGCAGCAGATTGATGCTGCATGAAACTCATGAAAGAGGAGAGTGGAGGGTGTGGATTAAAGCCTAATTGCAGTAACAACATCACACACACTGACACAACACATCCATCAGAAATCAATGCTCCCTACAAACACAGAAAATATTTGCAGCTTTCATAGAAACAAAGAACTTGATCTGACAGTGCTTCAATAACTCAGTATTGAATAGAGCAGGGGTGGGGGAACTCCATACCTCTAGGGCCGGTGTCCTGCAGGTTTTAGATGCATCCTTGATCCAACACAGCTGATTTAAATGGCTAAATTACCTCCTCAACATGTCTTGAAGTTCTCCAGAGGCCTGGTAATGAACTAACCATTTGATTCAGGCGTGTTGACCCAGGATGAAATCTAAAACCTGCAGGACACCAGCCCTTGAGGCCTGGAGTTCCCCATCCCTGGCATAGAGAAAAGTCAAAACACTGATGTTGCATTTGGGTACCACCAAAATATGATCTGTTTCCTGCTAACGTATGTAACGCTCAGGGCTCAACTTTACACAGTAGAAAGCTATTAAAACTAGCACCGGTATGAATTAACACTGTATCACCCAGCACTGTATTACCCAGGGGTTTGACCCCTGCTGGGTTACTTTTATGTGGTGTTTACAGATATCCCTGTGCCTGCGAGGGACCCTTCCAGGTATTCCAGTTTCCTCCCACAGTGCAAAGACATGGAGTTGGTTAACTGGTACTAAAGCACCTGTGGGTGTGAAATATAGAATAAAACACTTTATGCATGCATGAATAAATGTGACTTGTGGTCTAAAATGCTTTGAATTGTCAATTAGTCTAGAAAAGTCTTATAAATATGCCAGTCTATTTGCATGTTTTGGAACATCTCCACATACTTAGAAACCTAACCGTTGCTGATAAGCTTCATCATAACTGTGTGGAACTCTGCTGGCAAGGTCTTCATTTATATACAACTTTAAATCAACAAAAACAACAACAACAAAAACTCTCAATGCCTCTTTCTCTTCAAAGGCTAGCATCCCCACACATACAGAGATATTCTTCTTTACTCTATCACACCACAGGTAATATCTTCACAGCAGGAGGTAGCAGTGAACTGCAAGTCTGTCAGAAACAAGTGTGAACTTGAAATCCTGACTCTGAAATCAACAGATGTTCTGTTTAATTCCTCTTACGTTCTGCTTTTCAGTATGTAAGCACACACCAGGCTTCTCTGAGGGCTGGAAGGCAACGAGCTGGTGCTTCTTTGAGTTAAACATCTGTCAGGATGCTCTGGGCTTTGTGCTGATGCGTGCTGTGTTAGTTGGCTCCTTGTACAATTGTACATTAAAGTGAAACAGGTTTCACAATGGCAGACTGCTTAGTGCCGTTGGTGTCATTTTTATTAAAGTTTCAAAAGTTATAGGCTAATCTGTTCATTGACCCCCTCCTCAAAAATAAAGCATCAATCGGCACTGATGATGCTTGTGTTGGTCTAATGAGTTCCGTTTCAAATAAGGTTTCCTGATGAGTTTGCAAATGATATCAGTTTTGAAGTGAGAGACAATTTCCCCTTAATCACCTACTTTTAAAATGAAGTGCAGCCAAAACATTTAAGGGTTCACTGAACAGCATTTTATAAAAAGAGGTTCTAAAAAGGCAAACAGCTCCCCCATCTACAAATGCTCATCAGTAAAATCTTTAAAGTTGACTTTGAGTGATCACTAAGAGCAGAGAACACCCTATAAAAATGTGATTACATCACCCTGGATCTGTTGTGGTTTCACTGTGCAAACACCAGAGAAAAAGCTGAAGCACAACTTACTCGACTATGGTCTCCCGATCTGCAATGTCTCCCAGCACCATGCGCTGGATGATGCTGTTATGTTCCTCCTCTGACAGGTTTTTGTGAGAGACCAGGGGAGTGCTATACTTGGTGGCTGGGGATGGGTCCACCCCCTGCAGCCAGGCATGGCTCTCAATCTCCTCCAGGGAGGCTCGTTGTTTGGGATCCCTCTGCAGCATGCGGTCTATCAGACTGAGGAAAATGAGAAAAGGAGAGAGGGGAAAACACACTTAAATCAAATCCGGTTAAAGTATCACTTTAAGTATGGCTTTAAGTGGTCTCTGACTAGTTGAATATTAACAGCTTCAAATTGTAACACCTAAAGTTTCCCACACAGACTTTCTCTGAGTGAACCACCTAGGTACATTTACACGATTCACCCACAGTGGGCACACCCTTTGCTCTTTTTTGGAAGATCTGGCTCCTGCGCATTCATCTCCAGCCCTTTCTTGGCACTAGCCAGGTCCCTGTTGTGAAGGTTTATCAATGTGAGTAGCTAATTATTAATGTGACACATTCATTCTGCATATATTAAATGTTTATAAATAGAAGTGAAAGACTTTAAAATTGTTCAGTTTTACGTAATTCTTTTTTGTGAAACAAAGGAAGAAATAAAAAAAATAAAATAGAAAATGGGGGGAAAAATTAAACTGTATCAGAAGCTGCTATTGGGCCAGAATTCCACGTCTCTCAGTGGCTGTTTTATGTGATTAGATACAGATGCTGCCGGATCAGATTGGACCCATCTGCATGCTGAACTCCACCTGTCCCTTGTGCCGGTGCTAGGTTACCTATTAGAACAAGCGTTGTGCTTTGTTTAGTGTTAAGAATGCCACAACACTCAATTTTGGTGGTGTTTTTCCTTAAGTTTGTTTTAGGTTTATTTGTTGTTGCAAGACGTTTTGTAGAAGTGCCAGCAGCACTGTGGCTGGACACTTCATTCTT